TTTTTTTTTTTTTTTAATTTTACTTTAGTTCTAAAAAATTTCGTATGTTCTTGTGTGTGCAATTGTGGTCAACGGAGTGTGCAATTTGCTAAACATATGAATCTCCATATGGTAAGGCGTGTGTGCAATTATGTGGTAATTATGCAATTATGCATACAACAATTTATGTTGGGATCTCCATCTTAGCAGTAAATCCCTTTGGTAAACATATGAATCTCCATCTTAGCAGTAAATCACTTTGGTAAACATATGAAATGGCATTTGCTAATCATGTTCCTCATATGCCTATGTTGTGATTAGGGTGTGTGCATTTATAGTGATTGGCGTGTGTTTTTTTTTTTAATTTTATTTTGCTTCTAAAAAATTTTGTAGGTTCCCGTATGTGCAATTGTGGCGAATGTGCAATTTGCTGGCAAGGGAACTCTTTCTCATGGTTTTTTTTTTTTTTTTTTTTTATTTATTTTATTTTATTTTATTTTTTATGGTGGTGTGTAGTTTTGGGGAAAGGCGTTTGTAAATTGTTTATAATGGTACTTTATAACATGTAAGCCAGGGTTTTTTTGTTTTTTTTTTTCAAGTGGGTTGTTCATTTTTTTGATTGGCTTGTGTTTTTTTATTTTTCTCAATGGAACATTGTAACATATCGGGTGGCAAGAATATAAAATGATGGTGTAAGCATGTATGGCAAAAGTTGGGCTTTTGCATTACATTGTACAGTCAATTTTAAATAGTAAACAAAAGGAACAAATATTACATTTACTATAAAAAATTTTGAGTTTACATTTACGTAAATTGGGGTGGGTGTGTGCGTTTGTGTTACATGGCGTGTACATATTCCAGTCCAGTGTGTGCACAGTATCTGTTTTTTATTATTACTTTACTTTTGATTGCACAACAATGCACACGTCACCCAGTATTTTGCACACACCATCCAACACCAATGCACACAACACCATAGGTAATTTCTTAGGCAATAAAAAAAATCTGCATAAAAGTAACGCATTGGCCAAATGTTGTTACATTCTTTATTAAGAAAACAAAAAACTCGTCAACATAACAAATTTTAAAAAAAAAAACATTATGCAAATTAAAGTCTATGATCTACTGATGCACAAACTCGTCAGCATAACGCACCCGCTACCGTCTGAGGTCCTCACACTATTTGCACTTGTGAAATTTGAACGAGTCGAATTTTTATCACAACAAACTGGAATTTTTGTTTACACTTAAAATAAAAGAAACACAAAAGTCACAACAATCATCCATTAATGACCAACAAAATATTTACATCACATTCAAAATAAATAAATAATAAAAACAAGAAAAACAAAACAAACAAACAAAATTTCTGGAATATTTCCAGTAAAAAAAAAAAAAAAAAAAAAACAAACAGCAATCCAAAAAAACCATGCCCCAGTTAACACAAATGTCAGGAATATAGTGCAACAAAGAGCAACAACCATCAAGGATTCATGTCTCTTCCTCTTATTATACACAGATAGTTAACAACTTAACATGTTAAGAGCGTCTGATGCAATATAATAAGTAAAATGCATTCATCTCACCTGAGCCAATTTGATAGAAATCTTCCCATGCAAGTCAGTAAGATCCATAAAATACATATCTTTCATGGACTTGATCTACATAAAAGTTTCACAGATTCAGTTGCAGGGTTAAAAATCCTTCCAGGCATCATAGAATATCCCTATCATAATACTTTCACATGACAACCAGACCACCAAATGGAACCAAAAAGAAAATGGAAGAAACAATATCACTAAGAACAAGAATTAAAAATACCATGGTCATAGAATGCAAATGCCAAAACTTTGTAGGTGCTAAAAAATAGAGAAGCTCACAAACAATTCTGCAACTCACTTGTATGCATTTCAGTTTAAAGTAACCATGGAATTCACACAACGTCAGCTTGTGTCTAACATCATCAACTAAGTCAAAGAAAATTAGAATAGAAAGACATTTTCCTATAGAAAACATAATTTTATTGAAGATGTTGAGATTATCTTATCCCAGAGTCCAGATTATTAACTCATTAAACAATAAAGAAAACAAAAAACGCCACACCGGAAACGCCACAAGCAAAGAACATGGAGTATTGCACACGCCTACATAATTTAACACACAAACTCACCCCTACTCGGGAACTAAAATACCGAAAACAACACCCACAGTGAACCATCCTCCCCCGGAAACCCTAAACAAGCAGTATTTTGCATGTTTTATATCTCCCCGCGCAGATTTACCCAAAAAAAAAAAAAAACAAAAAACAAAAAAAAACAAAAAAACAAAAAACAAAAAACGCCAGTAACCCCAAACCGGAAACGCCAACCCGGAAACACCACAACCAAAGAATATGGTTATTGCACACGCCGACGTAATATACCACACAAACTCACCCCTACCTGGGAACTAAAAAAACGAAAACAACACCCACAGTGAACCATCCTCCCCACCCGGAAACCCTAAACAAGCAGTATTTTGCATGTTTCGAATTCCCCCGCAGATTTACACCAAAAAAAAAACAAACAAAAAAAAAACAAAAAACCCCATTAAACCTGCATACCCCCACCACCGGCAACACAAGAAACGCCACAACCAAACCCATTACCCCGCATAAACCCGCGAAAAAAAAAAAAAAAAAACGCGCCTAAAACCCTAAAACCGGAACATATCACCCACCCCAAGCAACATAGCTCCCGGCACCGCCAACATGCAAACCCCACCGACCCCAAATGCACAAGCCAATCCGAACACACAAACAAACAACAGATGGGATACTTGGAATGCGAGCAGACGATCCACGCCTCGGTCGCTTGGGTTGGCGTGATGGAGTGAGTGCGTCAACCGAAAGCAGCAGGAGAGGACCGGACGGACAACAGCAATTGGGAGAGGAACGGACGGACACTGCAATTGAAGAGACGGGAAGTAATATATATTTAATCAACACATAAAATACCATAATTAGTGGTGTACAAGCCCATAAAATCTGTTATCAATTATTACACCCTAATAAAGACACCATCAAAAAGACAACAACACCCCCATATGCACAAACATCAAACGCACGTGGCTTCCAAATCAGACAAATCTCATCCATCCAAAAAAATAAATAAACGTACCAGATCAAGCCTCACCATCTTGCCTGACAAAGGTAACCTCACCAGATTCAATATCTATATATATATATATATATATATATATATATATATATATATATATATATATATATATATATATATACACAAATACACATGGTGGGTTAAGTGGGGTTCTAGGCGGATTTTGTACATAGAATTCGAATCCGAACCCGAACCCATCACGGGTTTACTTTTTTAAGACCCATCCCGACCCACCACCCACCATCACCTAAAAAAACTCAATCCATACGTGATGAATTTGGGTGGATATCCGCGGGACGGATTGAAATTGTCATCCGATCATCCCTAGAACTCAGCAAGGATCTAAAAAGCATGGAGGTGGGAAACTCAGCAAGGATCTAAAAAGCATATCAAGTGGAATAATTTTCTCCAAATAGGAAAAGTGGGCAGGTTAATTAATTAGGTTGTTGGCAAGTGAGACCACATACAAACCCACCTAAACTAAATTAATGTCATTTTAATTAGATACTCAAAATCAAATAAAATATGAGTTAATACCCAAAATCGTCCTCGACTATAGTGGTTTTTCTCAATTTCGTCCTAAACGACTTTGGTGACCTAATATCGTCCCAGACTTTTGTGTTTCGCTCAATTTAGTCCTAGACTTTTGTGTTTTTGCTCAATTTAGTCCCTCATTTGTTATTCTGTCCATTTGGTGTTAAATAAATAGACAATTCAGTAATTTTAATATTAGCATCTCTTTACTCATAGACATGTGAACTGCGAAATCCCTTTTTTTTTTTTTTTTTTTTTTTTACGAATTACTCCCAGAATTACTCCTAAAACTGTGAATATAAAATTTGATTTGCAGGTCCGGGAGTAATTCTGGGTGTAATTCGTACAAGAAAGAGGAATTTTGCACTTCACAAGTTGAAAGTAAAGAGATATCAATATTGACATTACTGAATTGTCCCTTAATTTAACACCAATTTGACGGAATAACAAATGGAGGACTAAATTGAGCGAAACACAAAAGTCTGGGACGATATTAGGTCACCAAAGTCGTTTAGGACGAAATTGAGAAAAACTTCTATAGTCGAGGACAATTTTGGGTATTAACTCAATAAAATATTGAATTTTAATTTTTTTTTAAAGATTTTGAATAGGAAGAATAGAATTGAACTTGAGTCATTGTCTCATTAATGGTGTTGAGATAATAACTAATCATATACTTAAGTTGCCTAGCTAACATTATATATATCAGACAGAAAAATATTTTACACATTAAAAAATGTGATTATTTTTTATTTTTTATTTTAACTAGTTTATACCCTACCAAATAATGTTTATGCCACACAAAGACACTTTTCTCAGTTTCCTGTTCACTTTCTAACTTTATTAAGAATAAACTTGAGAATTGACAAGCACCTTGTGCTAAGATGACATCTCTGTGACTTCCCTGGGGTATTGACCCTTTGAACTGCATTAGTTAGAAAAAATATAGTACAGATACTACCTTATAATAGAGTCAATAATATTAAAAAAAATTTAAGAATTAATTTCTTTGTCATCAATAATCGTTTTGAGCATATAATATAACCATATGGAATTAAAATCGTTGCTAAATTTCACTTAAAATATCTATTTATTAATCCATTTTCCAACATAGCGAACATTATCCCATATATGTGGCTGATCATAACCTTGTTTGCATGCTATGTTGAACCAAAGTCTAAACAAATATCGGTGTGACGTGAAGATTCAAAGTCATAAAATTAAGTTTAAGTGATACTAAGATAGATGGTATGTTTTGTCTAAACTAAAAAAGTAAACTAATAATTGGACTAAACATTCATGTTATGCTCCACCATTATCTGCAATTTATCACCCAACATAAACAAGGTATTAAGTAATTTTGGCATGCATCTAAAAAACATTCTCGTACAGCCCAAAACTTAAAAGGAAAATTGTCCTAAATGATAACTTATTAACGTTGCATACTAAAGAAAAAAATTGAAACTTAATTGTCAAAATTTGAATCCCAAGCCTGGAAAGATTAAATTTAAACTAACACAAAAGAAAATGAAAAATCTATCTTTACAATATATGAAAATGATGGAAAAATTGGCGCCATATACACTGCTCTGTTCCAACACGTACTACACCATATATATATATATGGAGCTGAGGGTGATTTAAGGGAGGAATCCAACATAAGTAACCGGAGAAATGTAGGCTGCCCGGTTGGTCACCGTCGCCGGAAAAAATGAATCATCAGAGCTCCGGCAGAACACGACGCGAACTGCCTCCACGAAGACGAAGACGAACTCTATGGCAAGTTTCACCACTTGTATACATATCTCCAATCTCCCGATCATCATTTTTCTTCCTTATTAGCTTCTTTAATTTTATCACTCAATATAATTCTGGTCGCCGAAGATGCTGGCAAGCGGTTGGTCTAACCAGAAGACACCTGTATTTATAGTCTTCGTTGTCCAATCATTTCTGCTTCTTCTTCTTTTCTTGAATTTAATTAATACTATAAAATCTAAAACTGGCTTTTGGATGTTCCCAAGGGTCACAATACTAGAAATAATGCCCCCTTTTTTTTTCCCTTGCTATCAACTGATATATCACTGTCAAAATTCAAGCATATATATTACATGTTGTATTTGTTTTGTAAGGACACATATATCTATATAGTATGGGCTAGTTATACCACAAGTTGGTATGCCACTCATTAATTTGCATTAAAGAATTGAAATTCCAATTAAATATCATATCAAAACTTATAGAATATGTGGTAGAAAGGGATTTGTGGTACTATGATATTATTTATATTTAATTATTAAATATTCATACCCTGTTAAATTCATAACAAATTAATCATAGCTAATATTACAATTTACCAGTGGGTACGGTATATATATGTCATTTGCATTTAAAAGATACATAAAACTTTTAATATGAATTATAAAGGAATTATGATATGTGGTATTATTAATTTACTCCATATTGGATTATTCCACAATAAATTAATATGATGGTGCAAATTTTGGCGGCCTTTAATTTTGATATAAGTGATATATTGTCTTTTAACAAATAAGTATCGATTATTGTTGTTGTTCGCACTTATTAATTATATATACTACTCTTTTCTGATGCGCAAAAACATATGTCCAATATTTATATTTTTTAAAATAACTAAAAAATTCTTACTAATTAAAATTTATTTGAAATCAAATTTATTTATTATAATAATTCAATATATAATGTTTACAAATATTATTATCATTAAAGAATATAAGAAAATATGTGGTAGATGCATGTGCATGGTAACAATAATGGAAAAGATAACGGAAGTTATAACGGTATGGGTATTTTTGTTCAAAAAATTATATAGTACAACTTTAAAAGAACAATGTACAAAATGATTAGCATTAAAAACATGGACATAAATGAGGGATATAACTTTGATTGAGACTTATTATGTTTTGAGAATTAGAATGCATACTTTACCAGTTATTTTTGAAAGCTACTGACTCTATTAGATTGTAATATCTATTCAGCACACAGAGTCAACAACTCCACTGAGATTCGATCTCATGACCTCCCACATGTTCTCAACCTAATGAAGCACATAGAGTCAACAACGACTTCACTGAGACTCAATCTTATTCTTCCATGACCTCCCACATGGGAGAGGTCACTGGATATATGCGCACAAGGTGCTTGGCCATACTTTACCAATTATAAGTTTGTTAAAAAGTATTGTTTTGTAATAAACTCTACACAAGAATTCAAAATTTATATAAAAAAACAAATAATAAAATAAATAAAAATACAAAATTTACATACAATCCACACTCAATATAATAATGAGTAAATACCCAAAATGATCCCTCGACTATAGCTAAATTCACAAATTGATCCTCAACTTTCAATTTCAACCAATTAATTCCTTAACTTTGTAATTTTAACACGATTTAGTCCTTCGTCTATTTAATCGTTTGTTGACTGTGATCTTTGAGGATATATATATATAATTTCATGTGCAAAGCTCAAGATCTTGGATGTGACGACGTCGTTTCGGAGGGGGAAGTGCTTATCCACTTGCTGCTTGGGGATAGGGGTGAGCATAAATACCAAAAAACTGATAAAATCGATAACTAAACCGATCGAAAATTTCGATTTTCGGTCGGTTATCAGTTACATGAAAAAGAAAATCGATTATACGGCTATTCGGTTATTTTATCGAATATGGAGAGTTCAAAACCGAGTTCACCGAATAACTATATATCCTCAGAGATCACGGTCAACAAACGGTCAAATAGACGGAGGACTAAATCGTGTTAAAATTGCAAAGTTAAGGACTTAATTGATTGAAATTGAAAGTCGAGGACCAATTTGTGAATTTAACTATAATCGAGGGACCATTTTGGGTATTTACTCTATAATAATCAATAAGTACATATACAATGAATGAGAGTATTAAAATATAGAGACAACAACTAATTCCAACCGAGTTTGTTGGACAATTGACTTAACAACCACAAAATTCTAAATTTAACTCATTGTAGGAACTGCATATTGATGACTTTTTCTATTTAAGGCGATATCTACATGTAGTCCTTCGCTAACTAATGTCACAAAGCAGGCAGACTTCACTTAAGTATTAGAATATAAAAATATTTCTTTACACTTTTCTAAAAACTAGGCTTAATTAAGGTTAGTTGATGCTTATCCATGTTTACATCTCTCATTAAATATATATATTTATTACATAGGAGTACGTGTTGAATAAGCTTAAAAGGTATACTGTCCTGAATAATTGTTTGTTGTATGATTGAGACATTTTGTTGCTGATCCATGTGACAGATAACCTTATCCGATCGATTGTTACGTTTGCCGATTCAAAATATACATGGAGTTACTTTGATGAATAATGGAGTGAGAAACAAATGTTTTAATTTGTATGGAGTTTAACGATTTGACATGTTAGCTTAGTTCCAGGCCAGGGCTTTAATTTGCCGACAAAATGAAAACGAAGCGTATTATTAAACTATCCGAAAACTTATATTAGATCAAACATGCAATCAAAACCCCTCCTTCGCCTTCCTCGTAACCTCCGATCCACTACCACAATTGTCTATCATCTGCATTAACGTAACCACCTCCAAAGCTCCAAATCCTCCCCCACACCTTTAAAGCCACCAAGTCCTTTGAAAATTATACTAGCAAGGGATCTACGTTCCACGTTGCACCAAGTTATTTGCAGATTATATCATGGACCACTAATAAATGTTTATTTTTAGTATACAGAAGGTTCATTGTTAATATATTAAAAGTTCATTTATATATAATATATCAAAAAAGTAAATATTCAGTACATCAAAAATAAACTTTCGAACAATGAATATTTAATGCACTAAAAATGAATATTCAGTATACAGAAAATGAACGTTATGTCATTAGATTGGTTTACGATATAATGATTGGAACAAAACCTAGCTCCCATTCTCTTTCTAAGCGGTAAAAAAGTGTTGCTACTATATGTTAATTGGAAAATTAGCTATTTTTGGCATGTAAAAAAATGAGTGAATTTCATTTTTGGTCCTATTGTTATAGATGCTTTTTCAATTTTTGTCCACCATAATTATTTTTGCCACATTGCGTCCACTATTATTAAAAGTGTTCCAATTTTAGTCCACTTTAAGATTTTTTGTGGATTAAAATTAGAACACTTTTAATAATAGTAGACGCAATGTGACAAAAATAATTGGTGGACTAAAATTGGAATAACCTTTATAACAGTAGGACCAAAAAATGGAATTCACTCTAAAAAAAATGATCATTTTCAAGCAAAGTTTTGAGCGGGTTTACTTCCGCTTTGAGACAAGTCAAAGTGGGTTCCCTTTCTCCTGAGTGAGAGGTTTGATTTGATATATTTACACTCAAATCAAATAATGAGTAAATGCGAAGTTGATTCTCAAAGTATACTATTTGAGTTGGGAAAAATGGAGTTGGAAAGGCTTTGAAGGAACCTTTGTCCCGCATTGAAAAATGCAGGTGGGATTTAAAATAGTATAAATACAATTCTTTTTTAGGAGAATTTGAATGGTATATTATAGAGATTCTCTCTCACACATAGGGTGGTGCAAATCAAATTTAAAAATGAGTCTAAAATGACGTTAATGCTAGTTTGACCACCTCTTCTATATTGTGGCCTAGATGTATGTTTTTACAACTCACGGAAATATTGCTTTTCCTCTAGGAACTATCTCTCTCAAAAGTTATGCTCTTCTTCATCTATAACGCTCCTAATATTTTTGGGAGGTGACAAATAAAGTTTTAAGAAAAGTGTATGTGGCACATTACTTGAATTTTTGGTTTACCCAAACTGCTTGTTTGTTTTTCGCTTATATTTTTTAAAATTATCCAACCGAATACATACACTCTATTATTAACTTATAAAAAATTGAAATTTTGCTCGACTAAATTTTAGGGTAAATAACTTTTACTAGAAAACATTCATTTTAAGACCAAAGTAAGGGTTTGTGGACAAAAATGATTTTTGGGGGACTATTTTGGCATCCAAAAAAATATGTGTTAGTAATAATATTAACCACTAATGAATGTGCTCAAATTATTAGATTAAAATTTAATTAATGAAACATCAAGTAAATGTGTTTTTACGAGATTTACCGTTGAAACTTATTTACTTAATTAACTACTAGGACTAGAAACAAAACTTACTAAAGGGGAAAAAGAAATTTTTAAAAACATAAAACGGACAAGCTAGCATGGGATGAAGATGGGCTTGATTTGTCGAAGAAAGCTAATTTTTTAATTTTTATTTTGTTTTTGAAAACGTCGAAGAAAGTTAATAATATACGGATTATTTATTTTAGGGAAAATGACACTTTTTACCCCTGAGTTATATACTTATAGCACTTTTTTTTCCTCAATTATTTAGGTAAGCACATTAGTCCCCTCAATTATTCTAAAAGTGGTGCTTTTTTTCTCCCCTGATATATTAAATTGACATTTATACCCTTAAAGTAAACATTTTATTTATTTTACTACTCCAACAAATTATTGCGTATACGTAGCGATGACCACGGTTCGATTTGAATTGAACCGGATACTAAAGCAATCAAATTAATAGTTTCCGGTTATAATTCAGATCTAGAACCCAATATTTAAATGTCAATTTATTAAAATTATGTATCAAAAAAATTGAATCTTGAACCGTGAACCGGCAGTTCCGGATCCGATTCGTGATTTTGAACCGTCTTTATTTTAAAATTTTGATTTTTATTTTAAAATAGTCTAAATTCAACAATAAATGTATTTTATTTTTTCAGTTCGAAACATGAACCGTCCGTTCCGGTTCACGATTTTAATAAACTCTAAATATCGAATTTCGATTCTAAATTGTAATTGGAATATTTCGGTTTTGTTGCTATAGTGTTTGTTTGGTTTGAACCAAATTATGGTCATAATTTGTTGGAGAAAAAAAATAAATTAAATATTTAATTTAAGGGTAAACATGTCCATTTAACATTTCAGGGAGAAAAACAGCCACTTCAATAATTTAAGGAAAAAAAATGCTATAAGTATATAACTCAGGTAGAAAAAGTGTCATTTTCCCTTTATTTTATTTGTTGGAGGATGTTGCCAATGTACCCTACCCCACCTGATAGCAACAGGACAGGACCTTTAATTTGTTGTACTAGCTTATTAGTAAGGAAAATACTAAGGCCATGTTTGGTAAAATATTAGCTTATCAGACAATTTTGATTTATTTGACCACTATTAATTATTTGACTTGATTAAAAAATTAACTTCAAAATGTTAAAATTCAAAAAGTTGTTCAAAACAACTTTTTCAATTAGCTTTTTGAAAAAAGAAATTATACCAAATAACTAACAGCTAACAACTAATTTATCAAAGACCTTCTACAATCAGTTAATATTATCAACTAATTATACCCTCTAATTAACCTAATCAGCTAACAGCTAACAACCATTTACCAAACAGTGCCTAAGTCTAATCCATGGAAATTGCAATTCAACCCACTCCCAGAGAAGAGAACTTTCTACCCTCTATAACACATAATTTACTGGAAGACCCGGTAATAAAAAGAAATACTACTTGAGAATTGAGATTAAGTTCTGCCAAATATATATATATATATATATATATATATATTTAAAGAAATATATATATATATATATTTAAAGAGTGTTGCACGTATCAACCAAATTCTCTGTGTAACATATGATTATACAAAATAATTAAAGATTAAAATGATGATAATTCTGAAATAACTCAAGGACAACAAATGCTTGTTTGCCTAAAAAAGTTATTGCACTTGCGGCATCCAAAATCTTTTTGTAACATGACTGGTGGACGGGCCTTTCCTGACACCATGACAGGTGAAGTGATATTAGAAATAGAGTGCGTGAGAGATTTGAGCAATCGGAAGAGTGATCAGAGTAATTGAAGGAGCAACCTGAGTAATTGGGGAACGATCGGAGCAAATCTAAGACTTAGTTAATTGTTATTTTTAGAAGAATGAAAACCATTTCTTAATTAATCACAATCACCTTGTATCAATAAAAGCAACAACACCCTTCTAAAGTATCAAACTGGTAAAAAAAATATATTTTTAGTGATAGATAATTATCAAAGGTTCTATGATCTCATAAAAATTTAAACTATCATTAATTTTCAAAAGTTTAGTCTGAAAGGTGGAAAGATTGCAAGCTTAGATTTCATCAACAATGCTAACTGAAATGATTCCAACAGCTAGCTTACAGTTAATGTTCCCAAGAAGTCCATTATGTAGACATAATTTCTACCTTTTTGGGCACGATACAACTTATAGTATTTGACACGTTTCGAGTAGATTTATGAATCTAAAATACACCCATTTACTTTAGTGTTAAAATTCTTCAAATCAAATTAAGAAATTGTAATTTTCACCCTATAACACAATCTATTGGTCGAAAGATCCTGCATTAGAAATAAATATTGCACGATTATTGCACATTTATTGTACGATAGTTGCTATGTTGTACTCTTGAAATTGATTTGAAAACTTTAAACGCTCCTTCATACACTGTACTTTTGAAGAAAACCAACCTCCATACTCAAGTATTTAAAACCTTTTAATTTTTCGTCTCATATTTAGTTTGAGTATTCTGAAAGGTGGAAAGACTGCACGCTTGGATTTCATCAACAATGCTTACTGCTCCTGAAATGATTCCAGCAGCCAAACTACAGTTAATTCAACCCACTCTCAGAACTAAACTTTTCACCCTCTAACACATAATCTACTGAATAGATGACCCTGCAGTAGAAAGAAATATTTGAGATTAAATTCTATCAAATCTATATTTAAAGAAATGGTTGCACATTTATTGCACGTATAAGTCAAATCCTTAGTGTAACATATGATTACACAGAATAATTAAGACTAAAATAACAATTCTGCAATAACTCCCCAAGAACAAAAAATACATGTTTACCTAAAAAAAATTACTGCACTTACTTGTTCAACATGATTGGCTTGAAGGGCTTCACTTTTTCCATGACAGGTAAAAAGCAAGCTGTATATTCTTAAATCTTTTCTTTATCATTTGCTTTGATTTGATTGACTCTAGCTCAAATAATCCAATAAATAATAACACGTCTGCAATATCAAAAAAATTATTTAATTTCTTTATTCAGTTTGTCACTTATAATTTCAGAATTTCTAGTTGCTATGTTGTACTCTTGATATTGA